TTCCCCTCATTCCATCGTTTATGGCGGTTGAGCTCCCAGAATCCGAGGACGGCCTCTCATTAACATTCGATCCTGCCGCAGTCATTTGTTGAGTACCCTGTCAAAATGTTGTGATCTCTCAGGTTCTGCTGGGGCACTGCTCTGAGCTGACGCTGACCTCTGAATACCAGATGAACTCTCCGCCCTGTGTAACTGGATACATTGGAACCTCCAGTGTACATAAACGCGAGCCTTCAGCCCGACCATTTCCCACAACATCCAGATGTGGTTTCCTGCTGCGCTCACCCAGCTCTCAAAAGCCCACATCCTGTCAATATGTGTTATGCTTGCTTGATGTGTTTATCTACAGCCACTGACATATTACACAGTTGAGCCGTTATTGATTGATCTATTATCAAAGACCTGTAGGTTAACAAAGCCTCTTAATTGGTTAAATACCTTGCTTAAGGCCACAATATCATGATCTGGGACCAACAGATAGTGTAAGCTTGTCAAATGTCCTGCTTTGTTTTCTTACTGAATCCTGAGTAATGCTGAGTATAGGGGGCACAGCCTGAGAAACTAGTTATTAATCAAACTAAGAATGCTTTGGTTGTGTTTACCAAAGCTGTCAGGCTTTTAGAAATTGTCGCTTCGCATGCTGACATGTACAACGTACTTATCTAACCGGTGTAGCTGTGGCCTCTCAAAAATTTGACCCAGCTTCACTCCAAAATGTCATGCCTCAAGATTTTAAAAGATATTTGAGCCTACTTGGATGTTTTTGCTTCCTAGTGCAGAACATGGCCTTGACAAGGCATAATGCCAAAACTCCGAGAGCTAGCAGTGCTAACATTGGCACTAGGTTCATTCCATCTCCAACGAACCAGTGGCAGAATAATTTTTCATCACTACTTCTCAGATTTTTTTTTTCTTTTTTAAATATACAGTATACATTTTTTTTCTTTTATAAATGGGCAAAAATTTTTGGTTTTGACTTTTTGTGATTTCTCTGCTTCTGGGCATATCACAATCTCCATTTTCACAGATTTGTCAGATGAAGTGATGTTAAATAACATGTTGAACTTGCAACTGCACAAAATTTATCAGGAGTTGGGTAGAGGGGTTCAAAGTCATACTCTCCAGAAATAGTTTTGTCTCTTGTCTTTATCACAAATCTTAGTGCAGAGTGGGATTCTACATTAAAAATCATTGTAATTCACGAATTTTTATCTTAATGGCATGTTTCTGGGCTGAGTTATTAAGGAAAAAGGACTGCGAAAAACAGGTGTGACACATCATGACATCATGAGGTCCAAATTCAAGATGGCTGCCACTTGGAGCAGAATGAAAATTGACCCCCCAAAACTGAGCTTTTGTTTTCACATATGTACAAACAATACATTAAAAAAAATCAGTGAAATTTGTGATTGAGTGCTCTCACCCCTTGGTAGGATTTGAGATGGAATGACTCGCTAACAGACTGCGGGATGGATGAGGTCGGAAGGGAGATTGGGAGAGGGATAAAGGCGGGATAATATTGGTGTTGTGATGTGGAGAAAAAAAATGACAAGGTGACTAAAAAAGCAGACAAACTGAATAATATCTCTTTAGCTCAGGCAGGCAAGTACTCTTAACAGTAAATGGCTTGGACTCAAAAAGGATTTCACAATGTTTCCAGACTGGCTTTATTTTTTGCAGTCGATGAGAGGAGTTATGTAATGGGGTTAAAATGTTTTGGCTGCGGTACTGCCAGCATGTCATTGTGGTACACTTTTCAACAACATCCGTTTGTTTGACAAATAAGATTCAGTGGATATAGTGACACAAAATTTGACTTGATTTATCATGCCTCTGTGGTGCTGAATGCACATCTCCATAGCCCCAAATATTATATATTTAATGAATCCGTTAACAATCACATTAAATATTTGTAGTAGCATATGCGTTTAAATTTGATGGCCATTCTGAAAATGCTCGAAGGGACCATGGTGATGGGGTCATTTGGCTCTATTTGTCACCATAAACCACTTTTATCACCCCAACCATTCTGCAGATAAGACGCTGCGTGGGTGGAGTGCAGTTGTTGAGTGTCCGGTACACTCTATGAGGCTTTGTTGAGGCTGTTCCAGCTCTGTTGAAAGGACGGACCCATCTCATTTACTGCTCTACATTTCTCATTAGAGCCATTAATTTGCTTCGTGTCATTTTAATGTGTACTCATTTTGTTCCTTCCTCGCGCACTCGTATCAGCATTCAGAACGCGTCCGCCTGAAGTGTGGTTTCCAAAAGACAAATGCTTTTCTTTAATTTACTTAGCGCCGCTCACTAAACTGAAGTGTTGCACTCGTAAACGCGTCTCCCTTCCATGCAATTATCGCCTTTTTTTTGTTCGCAAGTTTCCGCGCTTTATGGCTCGCGTCACTAAATGTGTACACTGTTTAATATTGACTTTCAAAAGCGGGAAGAGCTGGCTGTGCGATGGAGAGAACCCTCGTGTGTTTTCGCGCTCCTGTACGCAAGGAAAGCCGCCAAGCTCCGTTTTGCGACCTGCGGGTTTATTTGGGTCTGTGGACAAAGACGAGGGTGAAAAGATCAGCGAGTGTTTTTGAATTACCGGTGATGTTCCCCCGGCTGGTACAAATTTGAGGCGAAAAGCGCCTTGACCTACTGCTGCGCTCCCGACTTTCACTTCTGCAATCTTGGAGGGACTGCCAGCAAACGCAGTTGGTAAAAATGAGAATTTTAGTGAGCAGGAGGAAGCCCAAGCTTTCAAGTTTTAGAATATTTTTAATATGTCTGCCACTGGCATTGGGCTGTGTTATTAGATTTCCCCTCATATTTAAATAGCCAGTGTCCTGTTCAGGCGGACGGCAGCATTGATTAAATATAACCATATTGCAGTTAAATCCCATGCAGCCCACCTTACAGGGACCAGAGGATATTTGGACAGATAAAGAGTCTGATATGAACGCAGGTTTTAAAATTAAAATCAGCGTGGCAGATGGCGCAGTTTCAGAATGCAGCCATGTAAAAATTAATTTGGCCCTTTAGCCATTTGAAAGGCTTGCGTCTTGCCAAAATAATTGATTTCACGGTTTATATATATACAGACCTGCATTAAATATTTAAGTGCGCACTCTGTAAAATATTTATTTTTATAGAAAAATCATAAATATTGGAATCGGACTCCAGTTTATTGTCCAGATCTGCTCTCAGTATGCATCCTGGCTGCTCTCCATGTACTTGCATGTTGTGCAAATGCAACACGCATGAAGAGAGGGAAGATTAAGAGGAATAATAACAACAATTGCAAGATGAAAGCACATCAAAAATTGTGCAATGTTATTTACAAGATATGCAGCATATAAAAAAAGCTCTGTGTTGAGTTGTCAATACAGGCCGCAGGTCTGATTGGTCTTGTACGAAGTGCAGTAGTATGCAGTAGTGCATAAATAACCATGGGCATAAATACTGTTTATGTCCAAGTGCATACAGTTTGTGTTTGAGTGGAGATGATGCAGTTGTACTGACCATGAGAATGATGTGCAGGTGGCCATAGGGGAGTTATTTGTTGAAGAGGGCAAAGTCTTGAGGGACGAAACTGTTCTTGTGTCTGGTTGTTTTGGTGACCAGTAATCTGTAGTGTCTCCCAGAGGAGAAAGTTTAAACTTCTTGTTATTGGGGTGTGAGGGGTCCGTGAGGATTTTCTCCGTCCATCTCCTGAATCCTGATTGTTCACGGCAGGGTGGGCTTGTGCCAGGTTGCTTCACTTGATACAGGAAAGTTGCTGGTTTGGGTCCCCGATGGGGCCTGGGATTCTAACTTAATCTGGTGAGATGAAGTTGAGAAGAACTCTGCCATTGGGCCGTTGAGCAAGGCCCTTAATCCCAAGATTGCTGCAGGGGCTTTACCGCTGTTCCTCTCCATCTCTCCTCACCTGCAACTGTTATATCTGGCATGTCTCCCAGGGCATCTCTGAAAAGGAGAAACATGTTCTCAATGGAACTTTGCCTGGTTAAATAAAGGTTAAAGATAGCGGTTGTTTATTTATTTATTTTTTAATTTTTCCCCCATGCTGTTTGATGGCAAACCAAAGCCAGACAGTGATGGAAGAGCAGAGGACAGACTTGATTTCCTGTAAAACTTTTATCTGCAGCCGCTGTGGCAGGTTAAAGTTCCTCAGCTGGCACAGGAAGTGCATCCTCTGACCTGGGCCTTTTTCAAGATGGAGTCTGTGTTGGACGCCCTCCTCAGGACTTAAGGGATTGAGGGTCACAGAAGCCTGAAGGTGTCCATGGCTGTCACAGTGCTGTAGAGAGTGGTGGTGATGGGGGCGGGGGGGGTCCCCTCGAAGTCCGCTGTCATCTGTATAGTTTGGAAAGTGTTCAGCTGTAGATTGTGGCAACTGATCCAGAGTGCCAACTGTCACAAGCCTTCAGGCAGGAGGGCGATGAATCATCTGGGCCTGTTGCTTAGTCTTTATCATATTATTATGCAACAATGGAATATATAGGAATTGGACAGATTTATTGCACTCATCAGTTGCAGTGTTTCCATACAGACCTACGGCAGTGGTCAGCAATCCTTTCCCTGGAGATTCTGATGGTTTGCAAATTTAGGCTTTGAGTGAAAACTTGCGGGATAGTAGAGTTCCAGGAGCAGGGATGGTGAGTTGGTGACCTCTCGCCTGAAATGTATTAAATAGGGTACAGTGGATATCAGAGTATACAGCAGAGGAAGTGAATTAATGACAAACTAGGCATGTCACAAGGGGAAACCTTTCTCTCTCTCCATCTCCTTCTGTCCCTTTCTCTGTGTCTATATCTTTATCTCCCTCTTTGTCTTTATGATCCTTCAATACTCCCTCTCTCCCTGCCCTCTCACCCCTCTCTCTCCATTAATCTACCAATCGATCATATACTCTGGGCGAGGTGCTGTAGTCCGAATTTGCCCCTGGAAAGAATTGAGAGCACAGTGTAAGTGTAGCTTATTACACCGGCAGGAAGGTTGGTATGGGCGGCACGGTGGTGCAGTGGTTAGCACTGTCGCCTCACAGCAAGATGGTCGTGGGTTCGATTCCGGCGTGGGGCCTTTCTGTGCAGAGTTTGCATGTTCTCCCGTGTTTGTGTGGGTTTCCTCCAGGTACTCTGGTTTCCCCCACCCACAAAAAAACATGCATCATAGGAACATTCCTACCAGTACCCCTGACCAAGGAACTGGCTTTAGAACTGGAGTTGGTTCCTGGGCGCTGCTCTGTGGCTGCCCACTGCTCCTAATTATAGGATGGGTCAAATGCAGAGGACAGATTACCCCACGGGGTTCAATAAAGTATATCTTATCTTATCTTACCTTACTTTCCTGGTTGTCGGTCTTGTTTGAAATTTGTTATTCATATGAAAACAAAGGCATCGTGTTATCCTGAGGGCCAAATTACATGGAGTTTTTGGCATTTCCCTTTAGGTGTATTGTGTGCAGCCCTGAGGTGCTGCTCTAACAGGACTCAAACCTGCTGTATGAGGGTTTTCAGGTGAAAAGCCTGATTTCCTCTCTTGGCTCCTGTCTGTCTCCTCCTAATTCTCTGTACCTTTCTCTCGAGCCAGCCTTACGCAGATGGGTTCCCCCTTTTTTTGTGAGTTGGGTTTCGGTTGCAGTTTCTTCATACAAAGGGAGTTTTCCCTTGCCACTGTCACCATTGGCTTACTCCTTGGGGATTCAAGTCCTGCCCCATGTAAAGCATTTTGAGTCAATCATAATGGTTAAAAGCGCTTTACAAGTGAAGTTGAATTGAATTTTACATTTACTTTTTGTTTCTGCTCTTCCCAAAGCATGCAGTTCCCTTCCTGTCTCAATGGGAAGTGGAATTTTCTGTATTAGGGCCAGGTCACGCAGTAACGGAGTTACAAAATTGGTGTATTTTGTATCATAACTCCAGAACTACGTTAGATACAAATTTGTAACTCCGTTACTGAGCAGTTTTTGCCGTTTTCACCCAAAATAAGTCAAATGAACAAAATTAGCTATTTGTTGTTTGAAGTACTAGGGAAGACCCACACAGAGCCACTCTATCTTACTTAGTTCTGGAGCCATGATATGAAATACACCAATTTTGTAACTCCGTTACTGCGTGACCTGGCCCAGTAGTAGCAAATGGGTAAATGGTGGGCCAGAAACAGAATTTCAGTAAATGTACACAGCCATTGCTGCTGCTCTTCAGGTGCCGGGGGCACGGGGTCACACTGGCTGCTGTTCAGCCCCAGAATTAATTGCGATGTCACTCCTGTGGCAGGTCTGTTCAGACCTGGGTGACCCATGAGGCTGTGGGTGCAGAACTTGGCCTGTGGCCAGGAAAAGCCAGGTAAATCTCTTGGAGCCCACTGTTGCTGTGCCCTTAGCAGAGGTGCTTAACCCTGGTCTGTTCCTGCATCCATCTGTTTGAGTGGATAATGCATGCTGTGTCAGCCAAGTTAAGTGGCCACTTAATGATGGTAAAACTGCTAATTAAATGCGGCTGAATTTGCAACTCATTCTCAGTGCCTCTGTTAAATAAGGAACAGTTCACTCAGCTTTTTCTTTCACCTAGATTTATTAACTCAGTTGCACTTGAAATGTTAGACATTTTACATGCCTAATATTTTAAAGACTGGAAGTATTAGACATAATTGAACCTCTGGATGGATCATTTTTACTGTTGGCTTCCTGCTTGAGCAGTATTTTGGGACAGCTCATTTTGAAAGACTCTCACCCTGACTCCAAATAGGCTGCTGTTGGACTTTTTATTTCCTATATGCCTTGTCACATAATGTGGCAAATTTTGTGAAAGGTACTGTAGTACAGTCGATAATTTAGGCACCATAGAGCAGGATGTAAGCTCAGGAAATTGTCCTAGTAAGAGGACATCTGCTGGGGAAAAGTGTATGCTCAATGATTAATGTCTTCTCTCTCCACTTCCTTCGTGAGGAGTTTAATTCCACCCGGCAATCTCGTCATTTTGTGTCCGGGCATGTATGTGTGTGTGTGTGTGTGTGTGTGTGAGAGAGTGTGAGAGTGTGTGTGTGTGCACACATTGCTTTTTCTTAAACTATGGAAACACAGTAGACTCTAGAATGCAAGGAAACGGAACTTATTCATGTTTCATGCGATTAGCTGATTGCGATTGGCGTCTCTAATTCCTAGTGTAAATGATTGAGCGGAAGGTGAGGTCTTCCTGTGTTTATCATTTGTCTGAAATCTGAGAATATGAATGCTGTCAGAATGTGGTTGGGGGGCGGGATTTAGCCCCAAGCAGTGCTTGGGGATCATTAAAGATCCCTTAGACTGTACTAGCTCCATTACCTCCTGGAGATGTCTCCGTACAGCAATAGGAGAGTCCCCCAATACCCTCCCCCCCATCTGCTTTAAAGCAGGGTGATCAAATTTGTGGGGCGTTTAATGGACTGAGGGTGTCTTATTGCCTTTATCCTGGGACCGTCAGGCCCCACTTATCACAAATGGAAGTAGATTGAATTGCGTGTGAATTAATGTGACGCTGAAATGGGTGGCGGCAGATGTTACAATCAACACTTCTTTTTTGTTTCTTCTTCTGCAGTTCTTAGCTTTTTGTCCTCGTTTACACTGTAGTTGGGGGGGAAAAAAAGGGGGGGGAAATGCTCCTTGCCCAACTTCTGAAGGGCCCTGCGGTCCAGCCCTGATCCTGCGCCATGTCGAGGACCCTTTAATTACTGCTTATTAGATTAATTACAGCAGGGTTATCTCACTATGACCTCTGCTCACATGGCTTTTCTGGGCCTGAACTAAACTATGGTCACTCTTTAGCCTTCTGAGAACAGTTCATAGAGGTGGCATAACCTTTCTCCTCGGAGCACCTGTGCTCTGCAGTTGAAAGATTTATGAGCACTCCTGTGTATCCCTATAAGATGTGTATGACCACATGACTTGGCGATGTAATATCATACACGCGCTTATGTTTTGGTGGTCAGTCTCCTGGTGTTTTTATATTTGAAGTCCTCTAAAATTGTTCTCCCTCATATATGATAAGGTGACCAGACGTCCCGGTTTTGCCGGGACAGTCCCGGTTTTGAGTTCGTGTCCCGAGTCCCGACAAAAGCCTGTCGGGATGCTAAAATGTCCCGGTTTCCACCGACCACTATGAAATGTCCCCTGTTGTCAGCGATTACATGGCCAACGTGGTCTTATAGCCCAATCATTAACTGAAAAACACATAGAAAGAATAAAGCATCCAGCATATGATTTCAACAATGTGTGTGTGTGTGTGTGTGTGTGTGTGTGTGTGTGTGTAGTGTAGGCTAGGCTACAAACGTAGGCTACGCCAGGAGCTTTTAACTTGCGCTTCATGATCGTTTAAATTCATCGTTATTAAAACTGAAAAACTTCCATGCATAGAGACTTTAATTCCACACGAGAATCTCTTAAAATTTATGATTGTTACATGGGCCAATTTTGATGACACCTGTCCGCAATTCCACAGCAGGCTGTCAGCAAACAAATCGATTTTGGTGCAAATTCACTCCTAAAACAAATATATGTAGGCTAATTTGAAGAGCGTTTGTTTCTGTGTTGACGTCATGTTTTCGGAGGTTGACATCTCACACACACACACACACACACACACACACACACATAGCTTACTAGAGATCTAAGAGATCAAAGTGATATAATGTGTTACAATGCTTTGTTTTAAAAAAAAAAAAAAAAACCGTTCAGTTGGTGTATTTTACAAAACTTTCTTCAGCTTCAGACTAATTCATAAAAATAAAGATAGTCCCACACGAAACTCATTCAATGTCTTTTCATATTTTATCTTAAATGTGTAAATAGGCCTACCAAAAACATGCATAATTTTTCCCCATTATGCTATGTTGTGAGCAGTAGTCCTACGTGCTGAAATTGAGCCTAATATCTGCATCTATCACTTCACGTGCACGCGCACTACGGTCACGCGCAAAGTGTCCCGGTTTTACTTTTAGGAAATCTGGTCACCCTAATATTTGATCACCTTTGGCACTGGATAGAAGCTTCTTCTTTTTTCTCTGTTGGATTTTTGGAAGAATTTTTGCACTAGCAGAGGGCGTGTGGCTTGACTGCGCAGCATGTCCGTTTGTCTTCTTTACCAGGCTAGCATCTGCCTTTAGCACCCATGTGCCTCTTAGCGCAAAACACCGTTGTTTCTCGTCCTGTTAGTAGATCAGCTCCTCACTTACATTTCCCTTTGACACCCATCAGTTTTGGGAGAGATTGCTCCGGAGATGGGAGCTCTCCACAGCCCTGCAGCCTGGCCCTGCACGAGGGGCTACAGCCAGAGTCTCATTCCTCCACAGATGGTCAGAATCTGCCCTGTAGCTGTGTATCTCAACTCAGACACACACTGCCACAGACTTTTGGCCCAGTGGCAGTTTTCCTCTTACCGTTATTCAGTGTGCTGTGAAGCTCTTTTCAGTTCTGCTTTTTCCGCCTCTGTCCATCCGCCTGTCCAGTCTCCCCATCCCTCAGGCTAATGGGGGGGTGGTGCACTATCACATGTGCATCACAGTAGCCCCCCCCCCCAGTAGGCGCTGGGTCCCAGGCCTTTTTCTCCATAGTCTTTCTCTGCCTCAGGTTTTATCCCCCTCTCTCATATTCTTTCATCTCTGTCCATCCTTTCTCCCTTTGTTGCTCTCCAGCGCACAACTTGTCCTTCTGCCCTGGAGGTAAGCATCTGCTGAATGGTGGTGTGTTAGTGTGGGAAGGATGGCTGAACCAGCTCAGCCCCCCGCACTACTGGACTGTACTGCTGTACGTGGCCTCGGCCTGACGCTAAGATTTTAAAGCACTGGTCCCACGGGCTACCAATCCTCTAAATCTAGTGGCCCAAATTAAACTTTGGTGGCCAAAATATGCGCATGTTTTAACTAATACAAAAAATACAATTTCAAACAAACTGTCCTTTACTAGGTTTGACATGTCATTCGAGGCTGAAGTTGGTTAGTTGTTTGCAGATTCTTGTTCAGATTTCCCGGTCCACCTCAATTTTTTTGGCAATTTTCCTAGCCAATTCAGAACGATTTGTCATGGACAATTAGTTACATTCATTATGT